CAAAGATGCTGTGGGGTAGGTGGGAGTTTCAAGGCTTGTGGCATGCAAAAAAAATTTGTATATAGAATGCAGCACTAAACAAGAATAGCTATATGTGTGAGAGGAGGTAAAGTACCTATTGGAAATAAATTTTCAGTGTACGAAAATTATAACCTTTACAAAAACAAATCCACCTGGTGGTGAATTGAATGAGTGTTTGCGGTACTAGATGTGGGATGTAGCTATTTACAGAATTTCAGAGCACCATGTTAAAATTTTTTCTTCATTTTTCCTGGTTTTTTTTTTTTTGAGGTTCTGATTTTTTGCTTTTTGAGGAAAGGGGGATTTTTATTAGATCACCTATTTATCAAAGTGGAATTTTGCTCTTCTTCAAATAGACAAGCAAACTTTTACACATTAACATAAGTACCGAAATATATTTTAGGCACAGATGAGATAATTCAAAGCAACTACCAATATTTAAAAGGTGCACAAATTTTACAAATGTCTATAATGCAATATATTTTATCATATTGACACAATAGTAGGACACAATTGTTTGTAAGAGTGTCACTCAGATGTATATCCAAGTGTCATTATTTGCTGTTATTGTGGTCAAACTTATGTAAGATGCACATGATAGGTTAGCAAAATGAGCACATGAACATAAATTATTATTAAATGGTACCCCAAAAAGTAGACTTGTTATGAAACTGTTGCATTCCAAAGTTAAAGCTCAACCAGCATGATTGGAATTATCCACTTCTAAATGCTTGTACTACTTCCTCCCCCACAAAGCAATCGGAAGAAAACAAGCTGGAAATAAACTAACCTATTTTACTTATTAACCCTCTTTCTATGGTTTAGTCAAAGTACACATGTCACAACCTTTTCAAGAGTTACATTCAAAATTTATTAAACTACTTTATTATCAATGTATATGAATAAACTTGTCATCAAAACGTAGTCAGATTTTAATATTATATAAGTTTTAAGTTTTATGTGGAAATATTTAAAAAGATCTTCAGTTTCCCCTAGTATGAGAAGTGTGACATTTATTATCTAGGTCTTCTCTCTTCTCTAATGTATTTACCATCAATTTCTGAAGTACAGAATTTAATATAAATTACTCCTTATAATATGGGTATTACTACAGCAGTGTCAAATTTTTATACCCTTCAATCTTATTTATTTACAGACTCATAAGCTAGAAAATCAGACCCACTTGCCATGCCCAGCTATTACATCCTCTCATTCACAAATTGCCAATAGTTCTCTGTGATGTTTTATACTGTATTATTTTAACCAATAGAAACGCAAAGTTTTAATCCATCAAATGACATATTATATTGCATAGTTTTCAATACAGACTATTGTCTGGTTCATCTTCAGTTTGAAAGTTTCTATTCTGGTGTTCAGATCTAGAAGCTTTGGGAATAATTTTAGGAATCTTATGCCATAGTTAGAAAGCCAGTTAAATTATGATAGTTATAGGATATTGTTTGGTTTGTGCTTGTTGTATTCTGTGTTCTTTGGTGCATTATGTAAGCAAATAAAAAATATATGTATATTGTTCTAGTACTATTAGTATAAAAATATAGGCTTAAATATCACTGGTAACTAACAGCAAAAAAACAAGATAAGTGAATGGGAGAACAGTATAAACAAGTAAGGAAATAAAAGAGGAACTTACTCATTAAATATGGTGAGTAGACTGGAGAATGTTGACTGGAGGGGTGTGAAACTGCTAGATGGTGGAGATAATGGAGATAAAGGTGTTGGGCATAGCTCACATTCAAGCCTATAGAATGATGTGATGAGACATGAAACAACCTGTGAGCATCTTCATCTAGGGAGGAACAGACTATCCGAATGAGCTGATAAATCTGTCTAGTAAGTATAGAAGACGAGATCCCTGGAAGAAGAAGAGTCCCATGGCAAGACTAAATGATTGTGAGAACCCTGAAATGGAATCATGTGTGCAAGTAACACCTGACTATCCAAACTGGACACAAAATGTTATCAAGACCAGTATGTGCACAAAGGACTAAGATCGATGGAAGAAATATGGGACAAAAAGTACAACCTCTTTCCTGAGCCACCCATTTAGAATAATAACATTTACCCTCATATTAAGTTTAGAATTGTGTTTAAACCATTGTATCATACAAGTAATTATTTGAAATATAAAAACAGGATCCCAATTATGCATCGCTCTTACATCATACAAATTTACATGTCTAAAGTGTAACTTTGGCTACATGGGCTCTACAATATGTTGTTTGAGCTCACGTATTAAAGAGCATGCACAGAAAACTGTATATAATCAGTTGTCCATTCTTTGCTACTGCTTCCAGGACTGTGATGTAAATTTAGTTTCTAAACACTTCAACATCTTGGGGAGTGCTTGCACCAGGAAGGTGCTATGCATGAAGGAAAGTTTGTAGATTCACAAGATATATCCTGAACTAAACATTAATCAAACAGCTTCATTTTTGCTTTTGAAACTTTAAGGTTAAAAGGAAATAGAATGGAAGTTAGACATTTAAAAATATGAGGAGGAGTATTTTTGTTTGCCTTAACTGGGAGAGACTGGGCATCTAAATGCTTTTTTTCTCTCATCAGTATTTAACAAGCTATGGAGGATGTGGGGTGGATTTCAGAAGCTGTTCCCTTCGTAAAGACTAAAATTTATATCTTTGAAGTAGAATAAGATGACCATATTTTGTAAGCCAAATCCAAATACACTTGTATAAAAATGTGTACCTGTACTCCCCATAATTCCAGATGCAAGCAACATTTATGCTTCTTTGACAGTAATAGTTAACTCAAACATTGAATCTCATGTCTTAGTATGTCATCACATTTTCGAAAAGAATAGAAAAATGCGGTGCTACAATAGCGTGTGGTCTACCAAGACTTTTACACTTAGTTAAATAGACAGATCAGGTGGGGTCTTCTATGATCCCTCTGGGGTAGGGGTAATATGGTCTGGTGGATCTTGGTAGACTATGGATACTGCGGTAGACTGCATGCTATAGTAGCTATATCAAAGCTAATAATAATAAGTGGTTGAGTATTTATTTCTAGTTTGTTTATGTTGAGACTTCATAAATTAAAAAGAAACTGGTTTAAATTTTCACTTTTATCAAAAGTGGCTGTGTAAGGACAGCCTTGAAGGACCACATGACTCCTTGTTGTCCATACATTATGCTAAGTTGTAATTTTTCTCTGTTATTGCTTCCTTATCTCTTATTTACTGTTTGCCAGTTGCAGTGGGAAAAACACTTCCTATGTGAGAATGTTGTGTGTAATCAAATCATACTTTCAGTAATCCAAGGCCATTCATCTTTTATGTACTACCTTTACATGATATTTGCCTTACATGTGTGTTCCATCATTTATCTTGGTGCAGTGAAGGTACATCCTTTCTTTATATTCTATTTTTAATAATTTTTTTATCTGCATTAATTTTGAAGTATAACATTGTTTTGTTGCTTGTTGTTTTTCTCTTTTACCTTAGTATTGATTTAGGTGAGTACTGAGGATTACCTTTCACATAGGTCATTAGACCACCTGCTGTGTTTCTGTGGGGCATTGTGGTGTTCCAAACTGATTCAGAGATCAACCCCCCCCCCTCCCTCCCAGACGATCTGACATAACACTACAGTAAGACCTGACAATGTTGTTTGCTTGGTTACGTAATTTCATGTCACCATTTATTTACTTGGTCTGTTACAGAAGCAGTGCTTTCTTTGATAGGAGAGTAACAGGCATTTCCCTTCCTCCATTTTCAATGTGAGACTATCTGAAGGTTATAGTAAAGGTACATTATGATTTCTGAAACAATGTATAATAATATAATTCAGATATGATTACCTCTGTTATAAGTATTCCTCCCCAAGGATATGTCTGGCAGAGGTGGTACTTTGTGATAGCAGATAGCTAGTTTAGAGATTCTGTCAATGGAGACACATGATCACATTCTGTAATCACACAAAATCAATACATTGTAAATGGTGGATAGTAAGTGATTGAGGAAGGGAGTAAAAAGAAGACCTTATGTTTGTCACATATAAGAGATGGTAGTTAAAGGTTGCAATAAAGCTAAATATTTCTGGTTTATATTTTACTATTCTGGCACAAAATTAACATCTTTTTTTTAAGTATTGCCCACACACACAATCATCGAAATTTTTAGATGTCATAAGACTTGGATGCTGTAAAAATATTTCTGTGTTTTACTTCAAAAACCAAAATAACCAAACACATTATCTTCTTTCTTGTCTGGGGGCTTTCCTGCACCAGGCAGATACTACCCCATGGCAGAAACAAAGAGCTTAATTAGTTTTACATTAATCTAGATTTGTATCTAATCAATTATGATCGTACATATCAAATTGAAACCATATTTGGACACTTTATGATTTGTTTTAGATGTAGGTTTAAATCTAGTTCTTGGATTGTAGAAATCTACACAACTATGCAATAATGTAAAGCTACACTTTAGGTGTAGCTGTGATACTAAACAGTATTGCTGAGACCTATAACTGGGCCTTGTATATATATATGCATTATCTTTCTATATATGCCCAACAAAGATTCAAATCTTGCTTCAACATCAGTTTATTTAGCAACTTAATAGAAATCAGTCAAATTATCTACAGGTTAATAGACAATATCAAAAGAAACCCTATATTTACAAAGCCATAAGTTCAAGGTACAAAAATATGTTTACTTTATACTGGCTGAAAGCCACAATATTTTTATGTCACATTTTTACATGCCCAACATGATATTTAGGAGCATTTGTCACAAGGCACATGTTAATGTCATGCCCTACTACTAAAATGTTAATTTTAATAGCTATTGAAACTTCCTTGTTTTCTGTGCATCGTACAATTTTTTTTTTAACAGATTTTGTTCTCACAGAAAGATAATACAGAAGACATAGTTCTATATTCTCATTTTGTTTAGTGTTAAAAAAACTTCTAATTTAAGTTCTACTTACATTTTTATAGGTAAGCTGTGCTACCTGAAAACAGGAACTAGTGACAATAACTCCAAGTTTGGAAAGAGTTATTACATTTGTCCTTTGAGGCCTGAATGTTTGTTTTGCGAACCAGCCGAGTAAGTTTATGGAATTTGTTATACCTCTGTGTTAAGCTAAAAATGAAATTAACTTTGCATGCAGACTTTTGATAATTTATATTAGTTTTAAGAACTTGTGTGTATTTTTACCTTAAAGTTTTAGCTGCACCATCTTAATTATAAATTTGACAATGAAGCTGATGGATAACAATATAAAATAATGAAAATTACCAAAGCTTCACTAAATGCAGAAATTGATCATGCTATCAAAGAAACTGAAACTAGAAAAACTGTTTGCAAAGTTTAAGAAGCATGTCAAAAGCAATTATGTAAGTCCTAAAAATTATCTCAAAGAACATTCATTTTTAATCTTAAATATTAAGATATCAAGTTAAGGAACCCAGTGAGTTTGTGTTAACTTTTCCCAAGATAGTTACAAGTTTAGTTATGCACTAGTAAACTGTGTTCAGTACTAAAGCCTGGATTTTTCTATTGTTTTGTGATATGCTTAAAGAGTCACCTTGTTGAAAGATTTTATACTTTTTAGAATGTTTTTTTTACCTTATGCAGATATGATCTACACATTATAGATCATTTAAACACTTTAATAATATTAAAGTCAAGTTGAAAAGATATGGAATAGGGTTTCTGATACGGTGCACTACCCTCACTCACATATATAGCTATTCTCGTTCAGTGCTGCCTTCTATATGCAAACAATGTTTTCCACATGCCACAAGCCTTGAAGCTCCCACCCATCTGGAATTGACTGATTCCAATGCGTCTCACATGTAAATCATCATGCAACAACCCTCCACCAATAAGAGTGCGACATACTCTCTTAACGAATGTGACTCCTTCTATTCAATTCTACCGAACTATCACTTCTCGTTTGGGACTACCCGTGTCAAGATATTTTTTTTGTGTGCTCTTCATATTGGTCAAATTCATGAATTTAAAGAGTTTACTTTCCAAAGTGGAATTTCTACATTATTTGTTTTTTATCTTTACATAGTTGATGAATTTTTTAGTTAACTTAACTTCCAAATCTTTTTTCTCACTCTCAATTTTATTTTCCATCAAACATTTGTGTTTGATTTTATATTTCAAATATAAATTCTGAGGTTCATGTTACCACTTCACGTATTGTACCTCCTACTAGCACTATCAGGCTACAGGTAGGGAAGACCCATCATTGGATTTATCTGCCTTGAGATTAATTGTTATATTGGTCAGCCTCTTTCTCCTGAACTTGCCCCACTTCCTCTGAACAAGCTGAACCTGTTTGGGCCAACGAGGATTTTCATAGGCTTTTTCCACCACTGGATTTTGCCATGTCTTCCTATGCCCCTCTTACGGAATCAGCTCTGCCTAATGCCGCATTTTTAGACATGATTTCTTGGGTATGTGATGTTTTGTCGATTTCTTATGATCCTTGACCTTCTTTGTTGCATGATACTTCTTTATCTCAGTATTTGCTTTTTTTCCCTTTCCAAGATATTAGGGTTCATGCTGAGCATTTTGTTTCTCAGTTGGTTGAGGGTGCTAGCATGCCTCACCCAATACATGCTAAGGATCAGTTTGCATTAGTTTACCATCAGGCTGACTGTCCGTTTCTAGACTCTCAGCAGTTGGGGTCGATTTTACCCATGGGGCATAACCTGATTTTCCTATGCATTTATCTCATGCCTAGTTTTCCTGCCTTCGTCTTACCCTTCTATGGTATTTATCTACAATACATCTCCTTTCCAAGGTGATCCTCAGGGTTTTTTGAGGGAGAGACTCGCTCATTACCTCCACGTTAGCACATTTGTTGTCTTTGGCTCTCACTTTACACATGTGGTCTTTGTTGTTGGGATCTCCTGGATAGATACGTGGCCTTGTCCCAGGTTTGTTTACCACCCCTTATCTCGGGGATTTACGTATGGCCCCTTTTCTTTGGCAGTATGTTTTTGTTGATGTGTCTGAGACTTTGGGAACACGTGTGGAGTCAGTGCATCAACAGTCAGAGCCGGGACAAGCCCCTTTTCCTGATTCTCATCCTCTTCCTTCTCAGGCTTTATGTGTTCCTCTCTCCAGGGATTCCTCATCTTGTCATTTTATTCAACTTAGATGGTCACGTCACCAACAGTACTGGTGACTACCCAGTGGGTTCTGGTCCAGTGGGAGCTCGCTTGTTCAAATTTGTCCTCCCCTCCTCTTTTGTCTCAGCTACCCAGTTTCTTCCCATTGCCTCAGGATCCTACTACCAGTCAATGTCTGTCTGAGGCAGTACAAGACCTTTTATCTCAACAGGCTTTTGAAACTGTCCATCATCTTTCTCCAGGCTGTTTGTTATCCCCAAGAAAATTGGAGACAGGCGGCCTATGTTAGATTTGTCCAGCCTCAGTCATTTTCTGGTTTTACCCTGCTTTACCATGGAGTTCTTTCTCACCCTCAGGTGGGCTTTTTCTCTAAGTTTGTGGATAACCAAGGTGGACGTCGCGAATGCTTACTTGCATATACTGATATCATGTCAGTTTTGACGCCATCTTTGGTTCATTCACCATGGGGTGGTTTATCAGTTTCTTGCACTGCCCTTCAGGTTTGCTTTGGCCATGTATGTTTTTTGTCAAGGGTTGCACTTCCATCATTACATGGACAACTGGCTACTGTTAGCTTGTTTGAAACTGAGGTCTGCCCAATCACACTCATCGGCTGCTCCTGGAGGTGGCTCGTGTGGGCTGGTTAATCAAATTGGAGAAGTCCTTCCTTCTGCCTACCCAATACCTTGTCCATTTGGATGTTTTTTTCAACACCCATCTCAGTGGGGCCCAACCTTCTCTTCAACTTTGTTCAATGGAGCTTTCAGTTCTCCACACCCTTACTACTCCCTTTATTACAGCTTGCAAGGTTCTGTTGCTTTTGGGGATGTAGTCTTCCATGGCAACTTTTATCCCCTTAGGTCTTGCACATAGGTGGTCTCTTCAGTGGAATCTTGCGCGGGATCATTTGAAGGCTCCTATTTCCCTCCACCTTCCCTTGTCAGCAATCTGCATTGGTGGTTGAACAAGACACGCATGTCGGCGGGTGTCCTGCTTCCTCCTCTTTGTCCAAATTTACACATTTTCACAGACTCGTTAGTCCCTTCAGGGCTGAGGGTGTGTGAGTCGATCAACAGGAAGCTTCGTGACATTGGTCTGTGGCCGAGAGGTATTATCATATAAACATCCCGGAGCTTCTGGCTTAATGTTGTGATTTGATTCATTTTCTCCATCTGGCCAGGCATTGTCTGGTAATGATACATTCTGGCAATTCTACATTGGTTGCTTATCTCAATCACCAAGGCATCACCTGTTCTCAATCACTATGTTTTCATGATTTGGATCTTATTTTTTTGTCCTACATGCCCCATATTTGTATCATTGCATGTCATTTTCCGGGTGCTTTCAATCTTGTTGCGGATTGGCTTTCCCATCCAGACAAAGTCTATCCAATGGAGTGGTCTCTTGATCCTCTTATTTTTCAGTGGCTTTACTGTTAGTGGGGTACTCCTCACCTCGATGTGTTTGCCACATCTCTCATTACTAATTTACCTCTGTTTTGGTCTCCAGTTCCTCATTCTCTTGCTCTAGCTGTAAATGCTTTTATTCAGGATTGGACCAATAAATACTTGTATGTCTATCCTCCCATTAACCTTCTTCACAGGGTGATTTCAGTTATCCATGCCACTTTGTGTCAGTTTATTTTGATTGCTCCTTACTAGTCGGCTCAACTGTGGTTCCCATGGCTACTTCAGTTCCAAACTGTCCCTCTGTTATCTCTTCCTTTTACTCCATCTCTTCTTCATCAACCTCAGTCACCAGTGTTTTATCCACACCTTTGTGTCCTATGTTTTTACACCTGGTTTTTATCAGGTCCTTGGCAAGAAGATCCAGTTTTTTCTGACAGGTAGCTTCTTTTCTAACTAGTTCCATTTGCCATTCCTCCAGGTAGGTTTATAAATATAAATGGAACATTTTCCACTACTGGTCTTTGGGTCAGAGGTCTTCACCCACTCGATCCACTGTTCCTCATATTGTGGATCTCCTCACTTCTCTTTTTGATCACAGGTTACCGGCCTGCCTTGACCCACACTTTTCATTTTTCTCAGTACCATAGAGCTATTCTTTCTCTATTGATGCATTCCTTCTGGATTCGTCATCCACCTCAGTGGGGCTGTCCTTCCGGATTGGGATGTTAACTCTCTCAATACAGGGTTGGTCAATTTGACCGAGTCACGTGAACTTCTGTAACTTGTTTAAAGTTGATATAAATTTAATACTTATATCTCTCTATATATTAGGTATATCTTCACAAAATTTGGTGAAGTCTTTCACATACAAAAAATCATATTGGTTAGTGAAGTATTTTTAATAAAATAAAGATTTGTCCATGAATATGTTGATTATTTTTTTATAGTCCATTTGCAAAGTAATTTTCATGTTAAAATTAAAAATACTTTTTGTCCTCTCAAAAATTTCAAATTTCCTTTGTGTAATCCCTAAAACCTCTGAAATGCATTTCAAACGTTTTTTAATAAATCCTTATAGTTTACATATATTATTTTCTCTACCCTATCTCAGAATGGGATTAGTGAACCACCAAAAAAAAAAATCTAAATAAACCTAAATTAACCTTCTTTTCTTTCTAGTATGACTTCAACTTGTAACATGAAATTACATTCGTTTATCCTAAGTAACTCTAAGTTCGTAACGTTATACATCTATTTATAATTAAGTCTTATTGTTTTATTGCCCTTTTTATTGCCATTTGAACCGTGTCTAACTGTTATCAGTGCCGTTATAAGTTGTAAATCACTTGGGGAACATGCAGCTCACATTACGCTATTGAATTACAT